ATATATTCGACTTCATATTTCCTGTATCCTCATCATAAAGTGTTCGTACATATGCTATCATAGCGCATAATTTTGTGGGAAATATAATTAGAAGTAATCTTGATCAGACCCCACTAATTCATTCCAGAGATATTGAGTGCTCCCTGCACTGGAAAAAGAATCATTCTGCATTACCTTTGCTTAACGTTGAGCTCATAGTTATTCTATATCTAGCTATGTATGGTACACGGCCCTCTCAAAATGAAAGAAATAAAATAACACAAAATAGTACAAGAACAGGTATTGCAAGTAGAATGATTGGGGGCACCTAACTAATTACTGTACTGTTTGCAAATTAAGGGATTAAGTACTCATGTAGTTACACTATAAAAACGACATATATCTATTGTTTATTAACACGATCGATTGAGAGGCCAGTATGATATGGATCAGTGTACAAATAATCCATAAAACTGTCCAATAAGTTTCTATCTGCCAATAATTTATTGGATTACACATCTCTATCAAATCTTAGAGGAAAACAAAGGGCAAATGAACCACTAACTGGAAGTATAAATCAGATCGAACTGTGTTCTCACCTAAAGCTGGTAGATATATAAAACTTAATGGAATGTGTACAAGAGCATTACCGGTTGGATTAATTTGCTTATATATCCAACTAGTGAAATATTTATGCGAAACACATTAAATTGTGTGCAATTGCTTCGTGTACGTTCTCGTATAAAATGAACATTACTGTTTGCTTCTTTATTGTGCAAATCATATTGAATTGGCGGTTTTAGAGCACCCAAAGTAATGATTTTTTTTGGCGGTTTTGACTGACAAGTATGGATTTCTTGACGCTCTGAAAAGTTTGAAATGGTCATATCTTTTTTTAACCAATAAAAACAAATTTCTCTTGCTCTCTAGACTTGGCGGATATTCCTTGAAGGTCAAAACTTATTATGCTAGCGGTTTTGATGTTTTTCTTAGCGGTTGGTGCCTCTCATGAAATGTATTGATCCTTGTATCCACCATAATACTAACCGGCCACTATCGAGTAATTAAATTGAATGATGACTAGCTAGATATATATATATATATATATATATATATATATATATATAACCAAGCGTACACATATATGTTCCTAAACAAACCAATATCTAGCTAGGTAATTAGCAAGGTTCAATAGTCAATTTGTACGTAAGGACATTTGTTACAGAGAACTAATATTTTTTTTTAATTACAACAAGGATGAAAAGATCGCTATTAATTAATTAAGCTGATCAAACATCAACAAGCAAAAGTTGCATTGTAATAACATATATTATGAACGACTTTATTAATAAGGTGCTATGATGGGTAGTATCCATCCTAAAATATAATAAGCAGATATCATATTCCTCTGTGCGTAAGATATATAGTTACGCAGTCACCTGCATCTCCATGCCATTAGCACAAACTAAACTAACAAAAGAAATCTAGCTAGCAAAACAAGATGTACCCAATTAATCAGCTGATGAAAAGCCCCAAGTGGTTTTAAGGTAATTAAATTCTGAGCCCTTCAAATTACAGAGCCTACAAAATCGCGAACCACTTCATAACTGAACTCATGGATGAATGATTACCATAGCAGGTGTGTGTTAATACACTGGTTGCTGCTTTATGGCACAAAAGAAAAGGATAAACAGTGTTTTTTTTTTGAGATGGACAGTGTTTTTTTCGTAAGTACTCGATTGGGTCCAATGGCATATTTTCTTCTTGGGCAAAAGCTGCATGCATATGCTTTGTGTCTTCAATCTGCATGCATATTCTTCCTCTCAACCACAGTAGCTACACTGTACATATATATATGTTCACCACACCCTGCACAAGCTGCAAGCTAAGCTAGCTCTGAAAAAGAAGACAGCATAGCAGAATGTGGAAGCATTGGCCGGGCTTTGTGCAGCTGCAAACCACATGCTTGCAGTGTCATATTACCAAATAACACAATTTGCGTCGTGCAAGCAAGGAACCATGTAGTAGTAGTACACCTAGCTAGCTACATTGTCTGATTGTCCACATATATCTGCAAGTGTAGCTAGTCATCACTGATTGGTCGTTAATTCAGATATCAGAAAGATACAAACACCAAACAACACCATATATATTAAAACCATCTCCTTCATTAATATATAAATCAGCTGAGACGTACACATGACGTCTAGCTAGCTAACTGCATCTCCTTCCGCCTTATTAGTTGAGTGAGCAAGCAAGCAACCGATCAATCGATCAAGATCGAAACTGCAGATTATTGATCCATCGATCGTCTAGTGGCTAATCAGTCCGGCCCTCCTGCTGCTGCAGGGGTACCAGCATATGCATCTCTTCAGGTAGCAAGGACGACGACGACAGCAAGGAACAAAGCGACGAGAATTGGGGGTAGCAGCAGAGCAGCTATAGCTTGTACGTTAGCCTAGCATTGCAGCGAATGTACGGGCCCAAATTTTTATGTCATGCCCCCAATCATCACATCTCGAGAATCCAATGATCGATGCTTGCTTGCGTTAGATAATTCCTTCTAGCTCCCTCCTGTTCGTACGCCCCCACACACATTACTAATGCTGTGCATTAGCAGCAGCAGCAACAACAACAACAGAAAAAGATATATAAAATCACTCGAACGAACGTTTGCAACGCAACCCGATCGATCGATGATCGAATAAAGCACAAGCAACCTGCATGTTATAGCTAGTGTATGTAGCGTCATTGCAGTAGTACTCCTAATATTATGATTAGCGCAGCAGTACCCCTAATATATACTATTATGATTAGCAGCTAGCTAGCTGCTAGTACTAGCCAGCTAAATTAACAACCTAGGAGTATTGAGGTTGCTTTTATAGTAGTAGTAGATGAATCTAGCCTGTACGGATCCAACAAACATGTACAGTACTCCTACAAAGCACCTCAGACCTCACCTAGTTTTAGGATACGTACGTGCAGTGAAACATCAAAATATTAACCACTAATAATAATTGAATAAAAAGGGGTTAGTACTATAAGAGTAATATTAATTTTCTTGCTGAAGATAATCAACTCAACTGCCAATGGTGAATGGATCGCGGCCATTCCACGGTCTATCCCAATAAATTTGGGACAAGACCTGGCATTATGAGGGAAATTGAAAGCAAGCACTGCACGCGGGGAGGAGGTGCAGTTTATTTTGCCAACTGCATGCCCAGGCAACCACCTTCACCGTGGGTGGGGTCATGGCGAGAATGAAGCTATAGCTAGCAAGTGGAGGAGGAGGAGAGGCCACAGTTTCCATGGCGAAAACTGGGCGAAAGTGCAAGCGAGAACAGTTTCATGGTCAGAGAAAACACACGTACAGTGGCGAGGAGTCCAGAGTTAGGTCTTGTTTGGGGGAGCTTGTCCCAGCTGCAGCTTTTCCCAAAATCTGCTTATGCTAGAAGCTGTCCCAAATAGTCTACAGCTTCTAAGAATCTGTAGTTACAGATTCTGAAAAATTAACCAAGAAGGCAGAAGCTGGAGAAGCTGGGTTTCAGAGCTTTTCCAAATTCTCAAAAGTTGGCTACCAAACAGCTGCTTCTCAGAATCTAAAGCTCCACACCAAACAGGCCCTAGCTAGGTGATGAGTGATGAGGGAGGGAGAGGGGCATGCAAAAGACAAGACCAGCGAGAGATTCATGAGAGCTAATTCATTCTCTCTCTCTCTCACTTCTTCGCATCGGTCATCAGGCGGGAGGAGCGGAGGAGGAGGAGGCAGGACGCAGGTCTAGCTAGCGTGGGCGATGGCCCACTCCTCCTGCGCGCTGCGAGAAAGTGAGGGAGAAAAAAGGCTAGCTACTGTTCTTCTTCCTCTCCGTCCACCTCTGATCTCATTCTCCCCCCCCCCTCTCTCTCTCTCTCTCTCCTCGAAAAAGAAACCTCGCTGCACCCAAATGTGAGAGCATTTCACAAGGAAAAGAAATGCAGATGAGAGAAATATTGGGACCAATGGATCACAATCAATAGTATATTCCACTTCCACATGAACTTTGGGGGTGTGTTGAACTGTCCATTATCTAGCTAGCAAGGAGGCAAGGTCACAATGGATCAAGAATGTGTGTGTGAGTGTGTGTGTGTGTGTGTGAGAGAGAGAGAGAGAGAGAGAGAGAGAGAGAGAGAGGAGACCTGCATACATGCCTCGCCGACGGCGTCGCGTGCAGCTGTACTGCACACTGCAGGAGGCGGCGGCCGGCGAGGAGCAGCAGCAGCAACAGTGGCGCGCGTACGCGGCTATACGCGCGCGTGCGGCCGCCGCACGTGCGGTCGCTGGTCAGCGGCTTACTCGGTATAGCCTTAGCTTAGCCAGCTACAGTAGCCCCCATCGTCCTGCCGGCCGGGGACCAGGAGAGGATCTTCATCAGTCATCAGTCATCACACCCTCTCCCGCCGCATCCATCGGTCCATCCCGACCTCGACCTGCTCCTCCATGCACATATCTCTCATTTATTTAAGTCTCTCGAGGCAGCAAAATCATCGTAAGCTAGACGCATCTGCATGGCTGCTTCATCGTCCTGATGGCCTCCTCCTCCGTACCTCCCGCCATGGAAACTGACAAATACTACTCTAGCTTGAACTGCAGCAAAAAAAATTGCTAAAATGGAAGAAATTGGTGTGCTAAAATGGAAGGAAGTGATATGATGGTAGTGTGTGTGATTCAGGACATTGATTTTTTTTTTTAATTTTCCCCTGGCGTGTGTTGAGACTGTGTCTGTCTGTGTACATGTACGAGCTGAAGCAATGGAGTAGATGCGCCATTTGATGCAAAGCTTTTAATTAGTTTGCCTCTCTACCTTGCACAGTATGAGGGAAACACCAAATTAAGTGAAGATGTGTGTGGAGCACTGCATAGCACTATAGTAGTATATGTAAATTATTCATCGAAAACTATAGAGAAACAGTCAGTACTAGTTGTCACTACCAGTCAAACAATATGTATATATATTGAGAGAGCGAGAGAGAGAGATCCCGGCTGAAATGGAAAGATCTTAAATATATATGTATGTATATATATATAAGCAATTAAGCTCAAGTATTGCTTTCATCTCATCATGGGTAGTAGTATGTGTATATGGGAGATGAGCAAACAGTAGTACTATGACAATTAAGCTCACTTCCCTATCTTACTTATTACTCCCAATTACCAGTTGCCGATTGCAATATATATATACTCACTGACCTAGCTAGCTAGGTAATTTAGCAACAAGCTAAGGAGAAAGAGAGAAAAAAAACTAAAAAAGACCCAAGTTTAAGGGAGGAAGAAATCAAGTGAGAAAATGAGGAGAGGAGATCGTTGCTACTAGCTATTGCTAAAGAGCCAGAAGGATACTAGAGAACCAAATGGCAAAAGAAAGTAGCTGAAATCTTGCAAATTAAGGGCGAGACGCATACGGAAGCAAATAGACATGGATGTGTTTGCAGCAAGGTGATCGATCTACTATACTCGGGTGGCGGTGGTCGGTGCAGCAGCAGAAGCGGTGGTGGTGGTGGTGCTTCCTCCTCCTCCTCCTCCTGTCTGGCTAGTGGCGGCGGCGGCGGCGGCGGAGCTGCCACTGCCTTCTGCTGCGACGGCGGCGGCGGCAGCAGACGACGAGCTCGACGCCTCCCCGGCGGCGGCGCCCGGCTGGTGCTGGGGCGGCGGCGGCGGCGGTGGGGGAGGCTGCTGCTGCTGCGTGCGCTTGCGCTTCTTCTTCTCGTATGGTATCCCGCGGGCCTTGGCCTGCGCGTCGCGGACCTCGCGGAGGTAGATCCGGACGGCGCGCGCGGCGAAGGGGTTGGACTCCGGCGCGTGGCCGCTCTCCTCGTAGGCGGCGCGGAGGCGCCCGATGAGCGCGTCGAGGGACCCCCACGCCTGGCGCAGCGGGCACGGGCACGGCGCCGGCGGGCTCGGCTGGCCGTAGTAGGCGCACCCCGACGCGTGCACCTTCGTCTTCCCGAACTGATCCAGGTACTTGAGGAACTCGATGACGTGCGCGCCGCTGCACCTCGCCAGCGTCAGCGGCGGCCGGTGGTTCTTCAGGTACTGCAGGAACGTGTTCCAGTCCCTCCTCTTCTGCGACTCGTACCTGCTCAGCTGCTGCATCGGCTGCATCGCCGGCGGCGCCTGCGCCACCGGCTGCGCCTGCCCGTCCGCCCCACCTCCTCCTCCCTCCATGCAACAGCTTAAGCTAAGCTAACTCCACAACTACGCGCCTAGCTAACTACTACGACGGCGCCACCACCTGCGCCGGCCGGCCGCAGCCGGCGGCCGGAGCGATCGATCGGTGGCGGAGGAGAGTGGAGGTGAGATGAGACGCGGGTTGGGAGGGGAGGGTGGCGATGGGATGCGGGGGAGAGCGACGGGGAGAGGAGGGGGGGAGAAAGAAAGGGAGGTGAATGCGGACGGAGGAAGCGGTGAGTTGGAAGGTGATAGGAGGGAGGCGCGCGGGGGGGTGTGGGGCCCGGTGGGCCATTCACGTGGTGGTGGTGGCCCCCGCTGGCCCGGGAGAACAATTCCCCCGTATAGGAGTACGCGTGTACTATGTATGTATACCGGAATACGTACGTACGTATGCATGAACAGTAGCATCCCGCGCGTATACGTACATGTACTTATACATGCGTGCGTGTGGGGTAGGAAAAGATGCGGTGAAACGGGCATACCTTGCTGCCGTACGTAGTACGTGTATACTCCGTATGTACGTAGGCTGAAGCTAGTGCCTAGTAGTGTACAATTCCCGGCTGTTGTCACACGAGGAGTATTAACTCGATAACAGCAATGTCCCTGTTCGAAGATTAGGACTACTCTGTTTGAGTTATGAGAAGAGTAAATTGTGCATATATTAATTGCGCCGGGTAATGCGTATATTGTTTTACTCTGCAATGGGTTTACTGATACTTTCACTAGTGAACTCTATATTAAAGAAAAATCGTGTGAAATATGATTAAAAATTATAAAACCTTTTTGAATTTATACCATTGTTTCATGAGGATTTATTCAAAATTTATGAAATATCATGAAAATCCTATATATTTGATAAAGTACCCTGATGTTGAGTGAAACTTAACTAAAACAATGAACTCTGGTGTAAGGAGAAAGTACGTGCTAAATCTGGTGTACAACGAAACAAGGTATATTTTATCTTATGTAAAGTGCAATTTTCTCTTATTAGAAACTTAGGATTGTGATAAATTTTTTTTGAGGATTTGATAATTTCATTTGTTGCAATAGTTATTTTTTAGATATATATATATATATATATATATATATATATATATATATATATATATATATATATATAGGAAAATTATATACTACTACCGGGAGTAGCTACTCCCTCCCTGTCCGCCACCAATTCAATTCGTTTGCCCAGATAATGGTAATGACTATTAACGGGTTTATTGAATCGAATACTTTTACCCGTTTTCTTTTACCCGTATTTTTTTCCCTCGGGGTCAACAAGATTGTTTCTGTTCTGTAGCAGATTCGAAAATTGAATCAAGATTCCTGAGTTTGTTGTAGATAGAATTTTGTTCGGAGACAGCTGACCAGATATATTTCAGGGTGGTTTTTTCGCTCTTCAGTTTGCTTATCCAAAGCGAGAAAGCAGGATGATTATCCCGTCGAGCAGAACATTATCGATCTAAAACCGTTCTTTGCGTTTTGAGAGTTCTTAACCCATCTAAACTCAGATTAGTAGCCTCGCCGGCGGCTGCGTTGCAGATAACGTTGAAAGGTCTAGCATGGAGAACTCCAGTTCCAAGGTTTGTTGCCATATTCATCTGTTATTTTGCAGTGAATGTGGTGCCGGCCATGGCGACGATGAACAGCACCAACCCGACATTGGTACGGTATAGCAGTGTCAGGCTGCAGGCTGCCGGAGAGGAGCGCCCCAATGTGCCGCGTGCACGCCGAGCGCCCCAACGCCGGCGCCGTCGAAGCTCGCGGCAGCCATTGATGGATTTTTTTTTCCTAATCTTTGAGTCTTTTTTTGATCGTATCTCTTACTAATTTGTTTTGTTTATGTTTTTGCATTTGCAGCACCTTTGCAGTCCTGCAGCAGGTGCGAATGTTTCAGGTGGTGGTGGCTCTAGTTCTGTTTTCACTAGAGTCCTTCATGCTGCTCAAGCAAGAAAGATGCATCAGCGGAAGCAGCTACCTGGTTCTGCAGTATCAAATTCCAAAAAAACAAGTGGCATCAAGGGTAAAAAGGTAGTACAAGAAAAAATTTACACCAGGTGCACTCCTGCTATTCTCTCAGATCTATTCTTAGGTTTTGGTGATCAGCAAAAAGAGCTAGTGAAACAGATGGAGTTTGATGGGTTGCTTTCCATGAGGCTGACTAAACTGAACAAGCAATTCGGAGCATGGATTCTGTGCAAGCTAGACCCATCATCAGGTAATCTGTTTGCGGGATCTAGACATGAAATTTGTTTGACATGTGAGGATGTCAGCCTACTTTTGGGAATCCCTTGTGGACGGAAGGAGATTTTGCCTGCAATAAAAAACGAGGTAAAAGATGTTAAGGCTTATAAGTGTGAAATCTTTGAGAAAGATTCCTTTGATGGACTTACCATTGTAACAATTCAGAGGATATTGGAGAAAAAATTTAACAGGACGATGACTGTTCACGAACAGATTGTATTCAAGACTGCTTTTATAATCTTTGTTGTAACCAAATTCTTGGCTCCTCAATCTGTTAACAATCACATATCTATAAGGTATATGAAGGCTTTGGTTGATGTAGAAAATATTCACAAGTACAACTGGGCGGAATTTGTTTTGCATGACATCAAAGATGCAGCAGCAGCATTGCAACACAAAATACGCCATCGAAAAAGCATTGGTTACATCAATGGCTGCATTATACTACCTCAGGTGAGATTATCCTATTATTCGTTCGAATTATTTGCCTTTTACTTTCTAATATACCCGCAACATCTTTTCACATGCTATAATTTATACTGCTCAGCTTTTTTATCTGGACAATCTGGATTTCGGGACGGACACTCCCGAGCAGGAAAACATTCCAAGGATTGGCGTGTACAATGACTCCATGATAGCAGAATTCATTGAGAGGGATGTAATTCTCAAGAACCGGAATCCTTTCCCCGCGTATGGAAAGATGAAGGTAAAATCAACTCTCCTGCCGGTAGAGTATTCTTGTTGAAATTTCCCTTGTGCAGAAACTTCAGACTATTGACATTTTTTTTGGGTTTCAGCTGCGAAACAAACATGATGAAAAATACAATCTTGGCCATCATACGGGTGCAATAGAGGTGCAATCTCATGTAGTTTGTCAATCTATTCAATATAAAAAGAATCCATTTTTCCATAAGAATTGTTGATATATCTGTACACAGGCTATCCATGTGGATCGTACCTACGATGCCAGGTCTGACATCGAGCCCCCAAGCTTTAATCTAGGAATAACACAAGATATCGAAGAAGCAAACATGGTGGCATGTACCCCAGGTCATGACATCTCCAATGTGGCTGAAGACTCTGACAAAGAACAAGAACTCAACTTTTTAGCACGTACCCCAGATCAGCCAATCTCAAAGTCAGTAGATGCCTCTGACAAATCCGGAGAAGGTAATGCAGTGCACAAAACTCCCTCTTCGCATGGAGGTAATGATACCCACAAGCCTGTATCAGTTTTTCATTTTCATTCATAACCAACCACATGCACATAATATGTCTCACTCTTACTGTTCTGTCTCATAATAGGTTACCAACAAACTAAACTTAGTAGTTTCTCTCCGTACTCTATGTTGAAAGAGACGAGTGGGGCGAGGATTTTCATGCGTGAGGAGTACGCATGTACAAAGCTCCCACCTAAATCCAAGAGGAGAATTATCGGCGGTCCTTCTGATATCCTATTCGATCGGCCAAAGAGGTCGATTAAACCAAGCCATTCGGTGAAATCACCATTTCTGAGCAAGCAACACTCTTTCGTCAGGCATGACCAGAAGGCACTTGATGATTTATACACATATGCAATTTCAATCACTGATGCAGAAGCTCTTAAGTAAGCCACCTATCTGAAACACTTGATGATTTATACACATATACAACTTCAATCGCTTATGCAGAAGCTCTAATGTAAGCCACCTACCTGAAATGTTCCTTTCTTTCACCACTAATTGTAAAGATATCACATTTAACAGGAAAATCTGGGTTCACATCTCCCAACCTGTCCCTATGTCATTAAGCCTACATGACATACAACAGGCTATTCGGCTAGACACTCAAATGCAAGAAGAAACATTCAATGTTGCAGTTCAAGTATTAGCAGCGGATGAGATACAGAGATTTGGAGGAACTGATTTTGTAGGCTGGAGACATTTCTTAAATCAAGATTTTGCAGTAAGTGCTTCCAATTACTCTAGACTATTTTAATTCTTAAATATGGTGTGTTTTAACACAATATGGCGCTGTAGATGTTTGCAACAGCTGGTGATGACCAGTGGAACCCAGAGGATCATCTCCCCTCATTCAAAGATGACTCCCTGATACCATATGACGTACCTAGTTGCCACCTGGTTTGATAATTAACAGCATCTTGAAAAATTCAGTACATCAAGTGCAAATGTTCAGGCCACTAACTTTTGCAATGTCAATATTAATTTGCAGATATTTATTCCACTACTTCAACCACTGCACTATTCTCTATACGCATTTGATATGGAGAAAAAAAATTATGCATTCTTGACCCACTGAGAGACGCCTCGAAAAGATCAGAGGATACAGCAGAAAGACACTTAAAAACAAAATTTCACATTTCATCTGCTCTGAAGGAGTGCATGAAGCTTGCATTTCCAGATTGGGACGAGGATATACCAAACTGGGTTTCTGAGTTCCCTTCGGCCATCCCAGCTATAAACAACAGGTTCTAGTTCATGCTCCCAATTTGATCCAAATTAATTTTTCCATTCTACTCATTTATGGTCATTACAATAATAACAATTTTGGTAGGCTGGAATGTGCCTTTCACGTGCTCTACTACATGCGAAACTGGGATGGAACTCGCCTTGTGAACCCCCCAAAATCTGTGAGTTTTATGTACACACTAGGTTCAACTTAAGTTTCATTGAAGTAGCTTCCTTTTATAATAAATATTTTTCTATATTAACAACAGGATCAACGAGATCTTCGAAAGGAATTTCTGTCCAACTTATTGTCATTCAAAGGCAATGAAGCTATTCTGCCGGACTTCGTCGTTCACTGCCTGAAGTTATCTAACAAGATCTGAGCATGTTATGCAAGCATGCCAAAATAAAGATTACATTCAGTTACATCATTATTATCTAAAATTTGTTAGGTCCCAATAATATTTGTCTTGTTCTTATTCAACATTTTTCAAGGCTTCATGTTCTCTGCTATT